GTTACTTGGCGGTACATTGTTTCTCGAGAACACTGTGTCGAAATGGACTTTTTGATTATCATTTAAAGGCAATTTAACAAAGACTTCAAATATATATAGACCGGCGATAGAACGAAAAAGCTGAAGCTAACCGGTCGCCATTTTGGATGTGACCGAAACCGCGGGAAGTTTAAAATCGTATACAATCGACTTCATATGAATAGTGAGTTTGCACACCATACACACACAAACTAATAAACTTCAACAATACTATAATTGCTGAATCTTAAATGCACGGAAACACGATCAAAAGTACCAAAGAAACTGTGATCACATCCACGTCACAACTGAAACTGATACATAAGAAAGAAATAGGTTATGGGTATGGGTTGTTGCGGTGTTATTAGTGACAGAAAAGTAACAGCAATGGCAGCGATTTCTGTTGACAAAACTGCTTCACGAAATACAACAGAATTTAGGGTGACAGCCAGTCTATATATATTTGAAGTCTTTGCAATTTAATAATTTGATTAATGTGACGTTTCCAGGTACGATTATCGTCTAGCTGAATCAAATAGTGTAATTTTCCTAATCTTTTAACAACTTTTCCTACACACCATCTTTGTTTTGACGTATAATTTCTACACTGTACTCTATCACCTACTGATACAGTTCTAATTTTATTATTTTTGTTAACATTACTTATTTTCGTTGAAATTGCATTTGGTAACATTAAATCTAATCTGTTTCGAATTTGTCTACCGAACAATAATTCTGAAGGACTTTTATTAGTTGTACTATGTGGTGTAATTCTGTAATGCATTAGCATTCTTTGTAGATTTACCTCATCTGTATTTTGGAAATCTATATTTAAACTAACTAGACTTTTCTTCAGACTTTGTACAAATCTTTCTACTTGTCCGTTAGTTGCAGGATTGAACGGCGCTATTCTTTTATGAATAATATTGTTATTAAAAAGGAATTTATTAAATTCATGTGAACATAATTGTGTACCATTATCACTCACAAAAACTTGGGGTATTCCAAATGTTGCAAAAATTTCTCTGCAAAATTTTATTGTACTCAGTGTTGTAATATCTGATAATATTCTTACAAATGGAAATTTTGAGTATGCGTCAATTAAAATTGCGAAATATTTATTATGGAAAGGTCCTGCAAAATCGAAATGTACTCTCTCAAATGGAGCACTAGCCGGTTCCCAAATGTGATTTTCTACTTTTTTTGGGTTATTACGAACTTGTTGACAAGCGTTACAGTTTTTAATAAGATTCTCAATATCGCGATCGATATTTGGCCACCAACAATAACTGCGAGCTAAGGCCTTCGTTTTCACGATGCCAAAATGCCCCAAATGTAATTCTTGTAACACGCGATTGCGTAGTGTCTTTGGTAAAACTACTCGGTGTCCTCGTAATAAAATATTTTGTTGTACACTAAATTCTTTTATGTCTATATTAAATAACATAGATTCTTTTAGTTCACCTTTTTGTAATTTGTTTATCACTGTACTTAATTCCTTATCCCTCACTGATTTTTTTTGTAGTTCAGCGATATTTACTGGTAACGTCTCTATCGTTTGTATTTGAAAAACATCTACTACATCAAATTGTGATTCTCGCGTATGTGATTGTGGAAGTCTGGAAAGGCAATCAGCATTTGAATGATTTTTCGTATTTCTGTATTTAATATCGTAATTAAATCCTTGTAGGAATAAGGCATAATGTTGCATTCTCATTGCGCTGTAAATTGGTAAAGGTTTGGTTGGAGAGAAAATTTGAACTAATGGTTGATGGTCTGTAATTAATATGAATTTATTTCCGTATAAGTATTGATGAAATTTTTTTATTGCAAATATTATAACGTAAGCTTCTTTATCGATTTGTGAATATTTTTTTTGTGTATCGTTTAGTGTTTGAGATGCGTACTGTATAACTTTTTCTGAACCATCTGGCTGTATTTGTGAAAGTACAGCTCCTACACCATATGAACTTGCATCTGTAGCCACTGTAAGTGGTAAATTAGAATCGTAATGTGCTAAAATTGTCTCGGATTTAAATTCTTCCTTTGCTAATAAATATGCTTCTTCACATTCTTTTGACCACGTGAATGAAACATTTTCTCGTAATAATTGATTTAAAGGGTATAAAATCGTACTTAGGTTTTTTATAAATTTTCCATAATAATTAATCATTCCAATAAAAGAACGCAATTCACTTTTATTTGCAGGTCTGGGCATTTTATCGATAGCATCAATTTTATTTTTACATTTGTGTATTCCCTTTTCATCGATCTTATATCCACAATAATTTATTTCTTTTTTAAAAAATTCACATTTATCGGTGTTAATTTTTATATTATATTTATGAAGTCTTTTTAATACTTCTTCTAATCTTTGTATATGGATCAAATCGTCAGGACCAGTAATTCTAATATCATCGAGGAAAACTGAAACTCCCGGTATGCCATTTAGGATATTTTCCATCTCCCTTTGCCAAATAGCTGGGGCACTGGCAATACCAAACAATAATCTTGTACACTGAAATAGTCCTTTGTGTGTGTTAATTGTAAGTAAATGTTGGTCTTCCGGTCTAAGTTCTAATTGTAAATAAGCTTGTTTTAAGTCAATTTTTGTGAATTTTTTACCCCCTGCCATAGTAGCAAATAATTCATCGGTTGTAGGTAATGGATGATCATCTACTATCAAATGTGGATTTAATGTAACTTTAAAGTCCCCACAAATTCTAACGGTATTATTACTTTTTAAAATCGGAACGATGGGTGTAGCCCAATCTGATGTATTAACTTTAATCAAAACTCCTTCCTCAACTAACTTATCTATTTCATTTTCTACTAACTGTTTAAGTTTAAATGGAATTGAACGAGCTTTAATATAAACTGGAACCGTATTAGATTTTAATGTTAACTTTGCTTGTATCCCTGTAATTTTTGCTAATTTTGTCTCTGTAATTGAATTGTATTTTTCTAACAAAAGTTGTACTCGGGAATCTATTTCTTCCTTATGAACGTCAATTGTATGTAAGGTGTCTAATTTTAACAATTGTAATTGTCTAATCCACTCTCGACCAAGTAAAGGCATTTTATTTGTATCAGTAAGATAGATATTTAAATTATATTGTTGATTTTTGTGGTTGACAATAACATTTGCGTATCCCTCAGTCGTTACTTCAGTATTACAGAAAGTAAATAATTTTGTAACAGTACTATTAATGGTCGTATTTGGAAACATTTTTTTAAATTGTAATTTTGACATAACTGTGACAGCACTACCTGAATCGATTTCAAATTTAATCCATTTCCCACTAATATTTAAAGAAATTGTGTACTTATCTCTAAAGTGAGTATGGTCTAATTGATTTATTTCCTCCTCTGCTTCCACCTGGTGAGTTGGTACTGCACCAAATTCGTTACTATTATTTATTCGCTTAAAACAAACTTTTTGGATGTGACCAAGGGTCCCACAAAATCTGCACTTTGTATTCTTAGGTAATTGACAATTTGAAGCTAGATGGTTTCCTCCACACCTGTAACATTTAATATTGGAATTAGAATTTCGCGACGTAAACTTCGGTTGAATGGATTGTAATTTTTTTGTCTTCGTACTCTCCTCTAGTATAGAAGAAGCTCTAGACGTATGTTTCGTACCACCCTTCTTCTTTTCTCTAAGTGTAACATAGTTCATTGATGTATTTAGTATTTCTTTATTTGCATCTTTTTCTGACATTTCCATCGCATGGGCTATTTTCACTGCATCGTCAAATGTTAATTTGTTCATCTCCAATAGTCTGCAGCGAATTCTATTACTTTTTAGACCGAAAACGAACTTATTTCTTAACGCAGTTTTCAGATATTCTCCAAAATTACAGTTTATCGCTAATTTCTGAATCGCCACAACGTAATCTTGTAATGATTCTCCCTCCATTTGGTTACGCTGATGAAAACGATAATTCTCGGCAACTTCTAGCGGTTTCGGTGCGTAAAATTCTTGTAGTATTTGTATTATTTCCTCAAATGATTTGTTGTACGGATCGTCAGGCGAGCATTTGTCACAAATGACATCAAATGCTTCATGTCCAATATAATGTAATAATCCCGGAGCGTAATCCACGTCTTTAACTTGAAAAAGTTTGAAATCACCTTTTAATCTTCTAATCCAATTCAGCCAATTCATTGAAGGTCGAAAAGGTTCAATATTTAAAGTAGCTTTGAAAGTATTACTTGGAGTAGTTTCATTCAACATCCTCGTCGTAGCTTCATTCGGCATCCTCGTCGCCAATATTTGTTATGTTTGTATAGAAAACGGTACGGTCTTTACAAATTGGAGTGTTCTTTTAGTATATTAAAGAACGAGTTTCATAAGGCAAATATTGAGGCACGAATCCAAGTTTATAGAACGAGCGGCGAAGCCGCGAGTTATATAAAGGATGAGTGCCTCAATGGCCTTATGAACGAGTTATTTATACTATTTTTTCTACCGCACACGTTTTTTCCCAAAATTTAATTGAAATTTGCATTTTTTTTAATCTGGGGACTTTTGTCGTGGTTGGTGATGGGTCGGTCTGACACTAACCACGAAATATTTGAGGTTCGAATTTTCACAACAACAATTGTAATTCGAACCAATTCGAGTTTTTGTAATTTAAAATTGGTTAAAATGTCTTGCGAAGAAGTTACGCGTCCGGAAACATGGGAAATTTTAAGTTTAGATTTGCCACTGACATTCACCTGACATTTCTCGTCATTGCTACCAATCTTACCGATCTAAATTACACCAGATCTATTAAAGAACGCCTTTCCGCTATTAACGAACTGCTGTGACGTCATTTGCGTGCGTTAATAGCTCTATTAGAAAACCAAAAAACGTGGGCGGTAGAAAAAATATATTTAATATTTGTAACTATTTATTTTACATGACAAAAGTAAGTCTCTAAACATACTAGATATCTAACATATCTAACAGCAACATTTCAAAGCAGAGCAATATGACGCAAGTCTTGAAAGAAACAAAACTTATAGTATGGGATGAATGCACTATGGCCCATAAAGGAGGCGTAGAAGCTCTCAGTAAAACTCTGCGAGATATAAGAGAAAATGGTAGTTTGATGGGCGGCGTTACGGTTCTCTTAGCTGGAGACTTTCGACAAACCTTACCCGTCGTACCAAGGGGAACACGAGCCGATGAAGTGAGGTCATGTTTAAAATCATCGTATTTGTGGCCCCAAATTAAGAAGCTCGCCTTAAAGACAAATATGAGAGTACTTTTAGGAGATGATGCTACCGTTGGTGAGTTTGCACAGACTGTGCTTCAAATAGGAGATGGAAATTACCCTACAGTTGATGGTAAGATTATTATACCACCAACTCTGGCTACGGTAGTAGAATCTCTTACAGAACTAACCAACAAAATTTACCCCGACATCATCAATCTTAAGGCAAAACCCATAGACTGTTTATGCGAACGTGCTATTTTGACTCCCAAAAATGATAGAGCGGCTGGTATTAACGATCTTTTGTTAAAATCATTTGAAGGAGAAGAAATTCAATATAAATCCGTGGATTCGGTAGTACAAACTGATGATGCTATAAATTATCCAGTCGAGTTTTTAAATACGCTTAACCCAGCTGGTCTTCCCCCTCATAATCTCACACTTAAGATTGGCGCACCAGTTATGCTATTAAGGAACCTGAACCCTCCAAAGTTATGCAATGGCACCAGATTGCAAATAACGGCTCTCCACCGGAATGTTGTAGAGGCCACGATAATCACGGGATGTGCTCAAGGGGAAAAGGTATTCATACCACGAATACCTTTAATACCGTCAGAATACCCATTTGAATTCAAAAGGTTGCAGTTCCCCCTGAAGGTCTGCTTCGCAATAACTATCAATAAAGCACAAGGTCAAACATTGAACAGTAAAGGCGCCAACACCAGATAACAATGAGGTTCTTAAACATTAAAACAAAAGCTTTTGGGCGTGTATATTACGCGAGAGTGGTTATCTCTTCCAAAGCGGTCTTGATAACTCCAGATGATCCAAATTTGATCAATTTGTATATTTTGCCACGTAATTTCCACGGATTCCACGAGGAGGGACGCCGAGGCATCAAATTAACTTTGTATAGTGACATAGCACCAATAGTCAAGATATACTTTAAAACAAACAGACAGCAACTTCGCGTCATGAAGCGCCTTCAAGAATTATATGGTTCTGACTCGACGTCTGAATCATCTGGATCCCCCCAGACGTCGTCCAGGCCATCCACATCTCATCAAAATTAATAACAACCCACGTACAAACTTAAATAATTAAACAACAAGAATATCAGAGGCCTCGATTCCTTCGAGCGAGTCTGGGACCTGCGTACCGGAAGATGCATAATGTTCATGGAAAGCCCCGTCAAAGCCATCCTAGGAATCGACTTCTCCCCCTACGGCTACCATATAGCCACCTCCAGCGAGGACAACACCTGCAAAATCTGGGACCTGCGCAAACTGTCCGTCCTATACACAATCCCCGCGCACACCAACCTCATCTCCGACGTGAAATTCCAAAGAGACGGCGGCGATTACTTAATAACCTCGTAATAATGTATATTTTTAATATGTTTGTACAAGTGTGAGTTATAAATATAATTATTAGGTTAGATTTTAAATGTTTCATAGTGTAAACACGTTATTATGTTAGATTTTAATTTGTTTAGTCTTGTAACCGAATTTTCTATTGCGCTCTATTTTGTTACTTGGAAGGAGTTATAAATAAACATTGAAAATGGCCGGAATAGACCTGATGGAAGACTGTTTTTCTCATGGACAGTTCTATGTGGCCTGTTCCAGAGTGAGTGCCGCGAGTCGTCTGGTAATTCTAGCACATGGAAAGCTTACGACGAATGTGGTATACAAAGAGGTACTTTGTTAGTAACAAATTAATTTTGTTCTGTGTTATAATTTTTTATTTCCGTAATTGGGTTGAAATAAATAGAATATATGTATTAAGTATAGTTACTATTATATTATATTTTTGTTAGAATAGTTTTGTTTCACATTACGAAAGAAACATTTTGTCCAAATTTCATGTTTATATCTCCAGTAGTTATGTTGATGAATCAGTCAGCCGGACAGGACAAAAACTTTTATACATATATTGTTATTATTATTAATTAAGACTCCACAAACTCAAAAAATAATATAAATTGAAATCAACAAATAAATAAGGAGATGAAAAATAATGTGTCCTAATTGCGAAATCCACGCAAGCAGAGCTGCGGGTAACAGCTAGTATAGTAATATAGAAGTAGTTTTTTTACTAGCTGTAAACACTTCTAGAGACGCACTGGCTACGCCCTTGTGGACCAGATCAAAGCGTCCCCGCCACTCGCCGTAAAACACACCTTGCTTCAACTGGGGAATTGCATCCGCAAGATAAATTTCCGCTTACTGCTAACAATATACTATTTGCGTATACAAATTCAATAAAACATATCCAGCTTTTTCGAACAATTATAAAATTTTATTATGCGAATTTTATTTTTTTATGAAAACCCTTATAAGTTATAAAGGTTTTCATAAAAACAGGACGTACAGGAATCCTAGGCTGACGAACTGGGCTTTATACAACGAAGAACTGGACGACAGACTGGGGACCTCCGTGCAGTCTATACAAACAGAATATAAATCGACAGAAAACCTTGACCATCATTAACGACTCTCTAATGTCAGCGTATGAGAAAAGTTGCCCCCTAAAGAAGGAAAGTCTGGGCAATGGTACACCATGGTGGAACCGAAGGCTCAGCCTACTTCAATCGGGGCTAAGAAAACTTTTCAATAGAGCAAAAAACACTAAGAAAACTGAAGACTGGGAAGCTTATGAAGAGCACCGGAAAGAGTTTAAGAAAGAATTAAGAAAGAGGAAACGGGAAACGTGGAGATCCTTCTGCAGCGACATAACGTCGACTGCTTCGACCGCAAGGCTGAAGAGAGTCCTCTCGAAGGACCACACACGTCAACTAGGTTTCCTAAAGAAAGAAGATGGCATCTTTACAGCCACCTTAGAAGAGTCCGCAGAACTTCTGCTGCAAACCATGTTTCCAGGCAGCACACGGACTACCTCCCATTCCAAAAGGAATGTAGGGGGTACTCAACCTTCCCCGAAGGACTGGGCGCTGGCGGCAAAGGTAGTCACGGAGGCAAGACTGGAGTGGGCAGTGGGCAGCTTTTCCCCATACAAATCTCCGGGAGTTGACGGTATTTATCCCGCCCTCCTGCAGAGGGGAATGAGCAGACTACGCCCTATTTTAATGTCAATGCTTCGGGCGTGTCTGGCTTTCAGCTACATACCGAATGCATGGCGAAAAGTAATCTTTATACCTAAGCCAGGACGACAAGATTACACCAATCCTACAGACCAATTAGCTTAACATCATTCTTGCTGAAAACGCTAGAAAGACTAAGCGAAAAAGAGATTCGGGAGACTGCTTTGAGCAAGCAGCCTCTACATCCGAACCAACATGCCTACATCCAAAGAAGATCCACCGATACGGCTCTACACACAGTTGTAAACCGTATAGAGTGGTCGATGGAGAACAAACTCTTCACCTTAGGAATGTTTTTGGATATTGAAGGAGCGTTTGATAAAACGACCTTCAAAAGCATAGAACTAGCCCTAAGAGAGCACGACGTGGACTCTACCCTAAGTAGGTGGGTGGCCGGTATGCTGAGGAATAGGGAAGTACTGAATAATGTAGGTGGCACTGAGATTGAGGCTGTTGTAGGCAGGGGATGTCCTCAGGGAGGAGTTCTCTCTCCTGTACTGTAGGATACTGTCGTTGACAGCCTGATACGACGCCTCAATGATCTTGGCTACCACACAATTGGATACGCAGACGATCTAGTGATTCTGCTTACAGGAAAAAACGCGGATACATTATGTGAAATAATGCAAGCTGCAGTTAATGATTTATCATGATTACGATAACCTTGAAAAATTTACAAGATTTATTGTTATTCAGTTTTGAATTTTTTCCAAAATCTCTGGATGGTAAGGGTGAAAATTCGACATGGATTGACTCACCACAAGTGCAGGAGTATCTTATTTTACAAAATTTAAAAAAACTTAGGTTCGGAGATTACTTGTCTAATAAAAATGTATACAAACAAACAGACAGACAGACAGACAGACAGAAACGGGAGGCCACTTTTTTCGAACTCTAGGGTCATGACACGTCGAGAAAATATGGAAGTGGCAATTACTACACTTCCTTAGCTTACGCTCGGGAAGTAAAAATTAGTCGAAGATTATTTCGACAGAACTTCCCTAGCCCCTGAAGTACAGCCCAACAAATTCCGCAAAACCAGTGGCATAAAGGTCGGTACAAGCGCGGACAATAAGAAATACAACAGAAGGACACAACCAACGGGAAAATGTGCGAAAAATCAAAATTTAAAAAATCGATTCATTGAAAAATTGAAAAACTGAAAAATCAGGAAATTAAGTAATATGATTGGAAAATTGAAAAGCTGACAAGTCGAAAAAATCGTAGAACAGAAATCGAATCATGGAAAATATCGAAACATTGAAAAATCGAAATACGCCAAAAAATTGAAAAATCGAGAAATTAGATAATAACAAATAAAAACTGAAATCTTTTTAAACTGAAAAACAGAAAAATCTACCGACATGTTCAAAAGTCGAAAAATCGAGAAATCGAAAAACTGAAAAATTTCAAAACCAAGAAAACGAAAATTCAAAATTTAAAAAATTGTAAAAATTGAAAAATCGGAATATTGAAAGTTCCAAAACTGAAATGACTTAAAATATTGGGAAATCGAGAAATTGTAAAATTGAAAAGAGGAAAATTTGAAGATTTTAAAAGCAGAGAACTCGAAAAATCGAAACAGCGAAAAATTCAAAACATGAAACATCGGGAAATCGAAATCTCAAATGACCGAGAAATTGAAAATCCGAAAAATCGAAAACCTGACAATTCGAAATGGCCAAAAGCCAAAAGCTAAAAAGTGAAAAATTTAAAATCAAAAAATCGATAAATTAATAGCAAAATTGAAAAGCCGAAAAATCCAGAAATAGGAAAATTAAAAAATCCGAAAACTGCAAAAGCGAAAAATAACTTAAAGAATCGAGAAATTGAAAAATTCCACAACTGAAACGACAAAAAATCTGGAAGTTGGAAAATTGAAAAATCAAAACATGGAATAATTAGAAAAGCGAAAAGCCAAAAAGTAAAAAAATCGTAAAACAGAATTCGAATGATGAAAAAACTCAAAAAATGAAAATTCGAGAAATCGGAACATCAAAAAAAATCGGGAAATTGAGAAGAAATATTGAAAAATTGAAGAATAGAAATAGATCAAAATCGAAAAGGTAAAAATTGAAAACTTGCAAAATTAATAAAAAAATAAAAAATTGAGAAATTAGATAACAAAAAATCAAAACATCGAAATCCCCATCGAGAGAGAGAAAAATTGAAAAATCGAATAATTTAAAAAAACTAAATTTAAAAAATCAAAAAACTAAACACTTTTTAAACTGAAAAATTGAAAAACGAAGGATCAAGCAAGATGTTCGAAAATCGAGAAATCGGGAAATCGAAAATTGGAAAATCCAAAAATGTATAATTTAAAAGTAGAAAAGTCGAAAAACTAAAAAACCAAGAAAACGAGTTGCAATAGTTGAAAAATCGAAAATTTTTAAAATTCCAAAACTGAAATGACTTAAAATATTGGGAAATCGAAAAATTGGAAAATTGAAAAGACGAAAAGTTGGAAATTTTAAAAACAGAGAACTCGAAAAATCGGAAAATGGAAACATCAAATGATCGAGAAATCGAGAAGCCGAAATATCGAAAACTTGAGAAATCGATATAGACCAAAAGCGAAAAGTTAAAAGATGAAAACTTGAAAAATTTTAAATAAAAAAATCGA